CAATTGCAATCATTGCTCTGAATTTCGGTCGCAATATCTCAGTGACAGAAGGATGCGCGGTAATCACTTTTCAAGCCTCCCTCTTGTCGTCTCTTTTGTTTACCTCCCTTTCTTGAGTTCTTCTATCAGAAGTCATCCAGCATTGACTGCGCGTTTATTCACATGTCGCCGTTCTTCTTTCATGTTGCACCGACTGTCGTTGGGGTATTTTGTGAATGCATAATGTGGTTTGGCACATGGTTCCGGAGCCTTGTTGCCATGACTGAGCATAGCCTTCAAAAGCCCTCAGAGTTTTTGCCTGACTGATTTTGTCATCTGTAGCATTGCTTCAGTGAAAAAAAATATTGGTTTGACTTGTTCCAATAATGTTCCTCTAACATGGTTGTCTTAAAAAACACAATTATTGAACTAGTCCTCTTTGTTTGGGGTCGTATTGCTTGTTTGGGGTCCTATTGCTTGAATTTTGAAGTGCAGCTGACAGGTCATCTTAGTTCAGCGGTATTGCCTCAGGCTGCAGTAGGGACCTGGTTGCGGAAAACAAGTTTGGTGTAGAAATCATACTTGTGCTACTACTTCTGGAATGACTTCCAGTGCTTTCTATTCACTCGTTTGAATTTTAGGGGGTTCCTAGAATAATTTGTAGTGTGTGTTTAGTTGTTAACGGAATGCACGAGGGTGTATTTGAACCCTTTCAAGCACAAATTTTGATAACCCGTAAACTGATAACCTGATCAGCTGTCTACTGTAGTGACCGCTCTCCCTGAAAAGGGTTAAAATGCAAGCAGCAACATGCAATGTAGGTTTTTATTTTTAATGATGGTATCGCGACTCTTTGAGCGTGTCTGCAGTGGGGATGCAGCCCAGAGGGGCCAAGCTAATCTCCAGGGGGAAGGATAAAGATAGAAGTCTAATCAATCAGCTGCATGTTAGGACAAAGCAAATGCATCAAGGTGTGTTTGAAAAAGCAAGCCATCACACCTTTTGGAAAACTAAGGTTCTAGAGCCTAGCTATGGAGGTCATTTTGAAATACCGGTACTCAACCGTATCTGAGATCTTGACCACTGCTGACTTAGACGACAACAAAATTTTTACATTTCCATACCTGGTTTTTAATTTGGAGATTTCTCGCAAGCAGCAACGTGTAGGTTATGCTTTGAAGATATGTCTGTCAGTCTTCTGGAATGCTAGTCGTGTAGAGAAACTAACATCTCCTTCAAAATCCCATTAAATATCTTCGATAAAGCCAGATATGTAAAAAAAAAAAAAAAAAAAGAGGCTGTGGTGTCATTCTAGCGATTCTGACCTCACACTTTTCCGTTGGACACATTTCAGTAATTTTTAGGTCGTGTGGAATATGTTAATAAGATAACCTTTATTTGTCCCACATTGGGGAAATTTGCATTCTACAGCAGACAAATTGGGGGGGCAGAGAAGGAAAAAAAAAAAACCAAAGTGTTGCATGCACAAAATAAATAAATGTTTCAGAAAACTGTAAACAGTATAAATATAAGTTGCATATATGCATCTTATGCATACATAAGGTGGCTGTGCTATTTACAATGGTTACAAGTTTTCACGCATGTTTATTCAGCAGCAAGACAGCAGTCGGTAGGAACGAGCGGAAGTAACTCTCCTTCTTGGATGGCACATTTGTGTTGGTGAAGCTTTTCCTCCTGATGCTCCAGCGTCCTCTGATATTCACAAAACATGCATGTTGGGTTCAATTAAGACTCTAAATTGTCCATAGCTGTAAATGTGATTGTCAATTTTTTTTTCCTGGTCTATATGTGCCCTGTGATTGGCTGGCAAGCAACCAATCCACAGTGTAAACCCACCCCTCACCCAGAGTCAGCCGGGACAGGCTCCATCCGGCTCACCCTTGACCTCAATGAAGACCGGCGTTCGAGAAAAGGGATGCACAATGAAGAAAGTCCATTTTCTGTTTTGAATCGTGTTTGCATTTCCGGCCTATTAGCCTCAGGGTCACTGGGGAGATGCAAATGACTGCTACAGGGTTAATTGCCAAGTTAATTGTGTCTAACTTGATCAGGGCGAAACTCTTTTCTGTCCTCCGAGGTGCAGGGAGCGAGTTGACATCGGGTCTGGCTGGATTTTCAGCCTACCGTCTTTTATATTTGTACAACTCCGGCTTGCTCAATTACTAACTCTTAAAAAACATTTGTTCCTACAATATTTAGAAATTTAGGGGTGGGGGAAACGTGCCTTAAAACATAGCCTTTTCGTATTCCATTTGCTTCCATGCTATGTGTGTCGTTAATAAAGGTTGTATGAGGCTATCAGCTTTAGCGTGGAAGAAATAACTTCATTTTTCAGGTATTTCCCATGGGGAAAATGATTTCAAGATGAGCACAATCAGCATCGTAGAACGGATTGCATTTGACTGGACGTTGAGCTGGAGCGTATATGCTAAGTTGCACATGGACATGTAGCTTTTGTTTTCCGTGAAAACGTTTTTTTTTTTGGGGGGGTGGGGGGGTGGAATAATCATCAGAAACAGTGCCGAAGGGGGAGAAAATAGAAAACCATTTTTGATGATGAATGTTCTCGGGCATCCTTAGGTGCATCCGCTTCTCGTGACTGAGTGGAGGGAATTTCATCACATTTAGCACGAGCATGAATACCATTTGATGCTGTTTTCGACCAATCTAGCAACATGAATAAGACTGTTGTGACAAGATTTAAACGTGGAAAAGATCATTCTTGTTTGAAGTCGGCAAGCAGAATGAATGCTTGTGACACTAAGCCTCTTGTTGTTTACGTACTCTGCCCGCTTTCCTTCTCATCCGGTAGCAAAAAAAATGCACATCTCATTTATCAAAGCAAAAAGATTCACTGTCTCTGCCGGACTGTGTTTGTTGACCGAAGCACTTCTTGATGTCTGTATTATATTGGATTGATGTGGACTAGTCAGACAGCACGTTGTGTTCTCAGGTATTTATCGGTGAGACCGTGATGCTGTGTTTTTGGGAAACAGCCACTGGGCTTTTTTTTTTCTTTCTTTTTTTTTTTTTCAAACCGTCGAACAGCAAAACTCTTACACATGCACTTTCGGTTCACCCTGAAACTTGCCAGGCTTATTTTCTTCCAGCTGCTTGTTTGTCACGGTCAAATTTCAAGAAAGTAAACATTCATGTTGGGATCACACAGCCAACAGCTTTATCAGGCACCGGAATTTGGCAGTTTATTCAGGCTTTAAATTTGTGTTGTCGCTTTCGTTTATTTTTTTATTTTTATTTTTTAATAGAGTCAAAAGTTTAAGATGAATGTTCAGGCTCCGTGTATATGCATTTTGATTTTACTACATGTCATCCTGAAAACTAGCTCTGAGCGCCACCACCATTTTCACCCATGCATGTGTCGGACTCATGATCAGGATTTGTCTCCTGTGTCACATTAGCACCGATAGTCCTTTTGGCCATTGTTCATGGTTTACAGCACAGGTGTCAAACTCAAGGCCCGGGGGCCAGATCTGGCCCGCCACATCATTTTATGTGGCCCGCGAAAGCAGCTCAAACATGTCAACTTCCATAATCCTTTCGAAAATGTCTACCAAAATTTTAAATTCTCATATGGAATAAATAAGATATATTTTAAGCATTTTCTTGTTACCAAACCCCTCATGATCGTAACTTAAACAATAGTTGAATCAACAGTTATTCTCAACTTCTTTATATGGTTTCAGTCGTAACAGCCCTCCAAGTGAAACGGTAACTAAAATGTGGCCTGCGCCCAAAAATGAGTTTGACACTGTGTGGTTTGTGTTTATTATTATGTTTAGAAAATGCCACAGTTTTCATGCAGGTCAAATCATATTATGTTGTTGTATTTATCCGTCACACCTTAAAGGCCGGTCCCTGAAAATAATGTCTGACATTAAACCGTGCAAAAAAAGGTCGGGGGCCGCTGTGTTAAAGTACTCAAGTACAAACAGTACACACCAAGAGAAAAGAAAACGTGTAGTATTGCTGCGTCGATAGGAAAACAAATCAAACACTGATTTAGAGCAGTTAAGGCAAGACACAGAACTGCTGTTATTTAATGCTGGAAACAGAGAGGAAATTTATTTATGTTCTGTTCTCTGTAATTTGTCTCTTTTTTTTTCCTTTTCTTGAGGAATAAGAAAAATAAATGAACACAGGAACTTAATTAGGACAGTCTTATTTCAGGGTCGGGAGGGGACACAAAATCTAGAGGAGACATCCGAGATTAAAAAATTATTATTAATTGAAAATGTGGGGAAAAAAAAAAAACCTGATCCCACCCTCACGTCGGGCCATCAAATAAATCCAATTTCTGCAAGGCGCCGCAGGGAAATAACACCTGGCTCATTTGTTATGCGCCCACAGTCAGCGAATGTAAACACAAGCATTTTCCATGGGACTCTGCGCATCATCCCAGAAACAGGACAGCAGGGCTCTGACCTTGGCCAACTTAAGCGCCGTTGCCCCGTGCGCTCCACACGCACAATTTGGATACACGTATCCTTTTATTTTCACTCCAAACGCAATCACCCGCCCTCGTTCGTCCGAATTAGCTTTAATAAGCAGGTGAATTGTCAGCGGAGGACACGCAATTTGCAACGACCTTGGTAAAGTGTGGAGCAGCAGTCAGGGGCGCTTCTGCTCTCCGTGTAAATAAATACACTGTGTGGGCACATCTGCGTATGGAAATCAGGGCAAGAAAAGTTATTTCGACGGGGAATCTGATGATGTTTCGAGGTGTCTTTATGCATGCATACCGCTGAGGTGCAGCTCATTTTCAAACCACCCTCGCGTCGTTGAGCTTGAGTAACTAATACCGCCGGTGTGCTTTTTTTTTTTTTTTTTTTTTTTCCCCCCAGGTTCACAAGTGGGCAAATTGAGCATATGAATGATATGATGTGGATGAAGCAAAATGGTGGTGCTTATAAGGCAGAACAACTATCAGTCATGATGTAACGCGAGACCTCAGTTGAGCGAGCATCAAAAGAGTATTTCGCTTCATCTTCGGCTTTCGTTGTTGGTCCCCCCCCCAATAGCCATTGAATAGCCTGCCCGCCATCAAGCATGAGATCAAAGGGAGCGTTAGCGGGTTTTAACACTGCTAGCAAGCAAGATTTGAGTGTCGCCTCACTTCATGAACTCCAAATAAACTTACTAATAAATAATCATATCGATCAAACCCTTGTGAGTGTGCATGTAAGTGCACAAGAGTAAGTAACACCGGTGACGCTTTCTGTCTGTGATTGGTTGTTTTTCCTCTGGCCCGATGGTTTCTTAAAAATCGAACGAGAGGGACTGTTATGAGCCGTGAGGCAAACCGAAAGAGATCATGAGGCACCAAAAATGTAAAAAAAAATATTTTGTCCAAAGTAGGGTCTTACTAAATTCAAAAAAAGAAAACTCATGTATTCAAGAAAACAAAGTAGCAACTGAAAATCACCTTATTCGGGGAAATACTCCTGACTCCAAAGATTAGCTCGATCACCGGGTGACTCTGGAGGTTGGAACGCGTGCGTGGCAAGAGGAAAAGGGCAGCAACGTGACATCCTTACTCTGAGCCTTGCTTGCGGGATCACAAATATTTAGGCCCTATGTTTGAGGCAAGAGCGGTTTCATGCATCCTGCAAAAGGACAGTCATTAAACTGTAATGGAGAGAGCCCCCGACTAACCACTGACATTGTTTCGGTGGAATCACCCTCATTAATGTCCCAGGCAGTTGGAACAATTGGTGGTGAAGGCTCATCAAGGCCGAACGAAAGTGGCTGTGTTTGTTTTGTTATTTGTTAGTGGCGAGACAATATTATAAGCAAAAGCTAGTGACACATGATTAGAATAGTACAGTATAATACAGTGGTACCTCTACTTACGAAATTAATTGGTTCTTACGAAATTTCTGAACTAGAAAATTTTGTAAGTAGAGACGCGTTTTCCATGTAAATGCCCTAATCCGTTCCAAGCGCCCCCCAAAATTCAGACATAAATGTTTTATAAAGCATAAAAATGCATCAAAATGTGTAACAAATACATGTTACAATTAGATAATTGCACAATAAATGAGAGTTGTGCATAATGTAAAAAACAAAGAATGGAGTAAAGAATAAAGATGATGGTTATTTAACTTAACTGCGTCCTCATCGTTTTTTGCCCTATTTAGCGCATGTTCTCTCGCAGAAGTGTTTTTAGCCTGCCGTTTTGTCAAGAACTGATCCAAGGACGTTTGCTTTTGTCTGCTTTTAACAATCCTTCGAAAATGTCCAAGGCAAACATCAGCATCGTGAACGATCGCCCGACTGGTGAACACTTTTTGTGGGTGATTCACGTTTACGTAAAACTATCCGGAACGCCTCATGGCCCGAAGAGCGAATCACGAGGACGCTGCATAGGCACATATCTATCTATCTACACACGTAGACACATACTGGCAGAGGTCCCTCTTACCCAATGGGATGTCAGGAAGATGCTAGGTAATAGCCAATGGCAGAGCAACTATAAGTATGTTGCGTTCAGGACACTCGGAGCTGCGAGTAGCAGCCCATACTGTATTTTTCCCTTTCGTATCTTGAAATTTCTTTCATAACAAGAGGCGATATTTTCGTAACTAATTTCGTATGAAGAGATGTTCGCAAGTAGAGGTACCACTGTTGTCTCATGCGCAAGGAAGGACAAAAGTATTGTTCAAGAAGTGATCTGAATCACGTCTGGCAGGTGTTTCGAAGTGTGACTTGGACGCATTAAAAAAAAAAAAAAAACGCTCTGGTCACCTTCACCAGCGATCTCAGATGAGGGACCAGCTGCTCAACCTCACGAGGAATGAAAGGTCTGTCTTGAAGCTCGGGTGAAAGTCGCTATTAACACTTTGATACCGGCATCCGCGGAGGTCAAAAGGGACATGGAAAATGATGATAGGTGGATTCCCGCTACTTCATAATAGAAGACTTTGCATTATTTAACGTGAAGAGTCTGACTGAATGTGACTTTGGTCCACGGAGTTGCTTTGCTTCAGCCGAATAATGTGCTCCCTCTTTGTCCCCTTCTCTTGACTCAGAGTGAGGACGTTCCCGAAGGACTCGGCTTTACTGGGCAGGGACACGGTTCGCGCCCTCATGCATTACGCCTTGAAGGTCTGGAGTGACATCGCGCCTCTCAACTTCCACGAGGTGGCAGGAAGCGACGCCGACATTCAGATCGATTTCACTAAGGCCGACCACAATGACGGCTATCCCTTTGACGGGCCCGGAGGCACCGTGGCCCACGCTTTTTTTCCTGGAGAGAGATTCACAGCTGGAGATACGCACTTCGATGATGATGAGGCGTGGACCTTCCGATCGCCAGGTAGGAGATGGGTGGGCGGGGGGCGGCAGTATCTGCTTGTTAGTTGAAGACGTTTTGCATTTAACTCATTCAGTACCAGCCAATTCTGGACCAAGTCTGAAAAGACGTTTAAAAACGTCTTTGGGAGTGAATGAGTTAATCCCAAAGGCTCTTTCCCTTTCTCTGGGTTTCCTTTCCTAGTATGGAGGGTGCCACGGTTTTGTCCGTGTGTATGTATGAAATATGCCAAGGCCCTTTTTGTCGTGTTCCACGGATCCATAGCGACTTAAATCTTCTCTCGCCAAAACTCGACAAGGCCTTATTAAGGATTCAGACATTCCCTTTAGGCCCCTTCATGCCCCAGTCTCCTTTAGTTAATATTTATTTATCATTATAATGTGAATTTAAAATTTAAATAGTTTCTCATACTGGAGAGCAGAGTAATGACTAAAATAGTTTTTTACACCCCACCCTCCCACCCCCTAAGCTTTCTGAGGAGGTGTGTTAGTTCCTCCAAATGTTAAAAAACATACGCCACCCCCGTTAAAGCAACGTCGTTAAAAGAAATATGTTCGAAAAGCAGAATCCAGTGATTTTTCGGATGATTAAAAACGAATGAGAAAATCAAGAACCTCTTTCTTAATTTCCATCAGAGCAGTTTTTCAGTGTTGCTTCAGTGCAGAGCAAAAAACAATCAATAAAAGGTGTTGGCACACTATGACGGACGGGGCAGAGGCTGACACCCAACAAATAAGCCACATTTTGATATTTTCATCAAACCATTATTGACTGAAACAACACAATGATTATCCCGCGCGTATTCCACTGAGCAGCTGTTGGCCCTCCCGGTATTTTGTCAAAATCGAGCCGGGATGAAGATAGATGGCATATTCCAGAATGTGATGCTTTGCTTAAACCCCCTGCGGAGAGCAGGAGATGCAGCATGTGCCAACCAGTAGTTTAGAAATATTAGCAGCCTGAAAGCCTCAATCCTCTTCTTCTTTTTTTTCATGCCAACTTACTAATATGTCCAATTAACTATTTATCGAAATCGTGAGGATTAGCGGTACAGAAAGCAGATGGATGGTTTAACGTGAAGAGTCTGACTGAATGTGACTTTGGTCCACGGAGTTGCTTTGCTTCAGCCGAATAATGTGCTCCCTCTTTGTCCCCTTCTCTTGACTCAGAGTGAGGACGTTCCCGAAGGACTCGGCTTTACTGGGCAGGGACACGGTTCGCGCCCTCATGCATTACGCCTTGAAGGTCTGGAGTGACATCGCGCCTCTCAACTTCCACGAGGTGGCAGGAAGCGACGCCGACATTCAGATCGATTTCACTAAGGCCGACCACAATGACGGCTATCCCTTTGACGGGCCCGGAGGCACCGTGGCCCACGCTTTTTTTCCTGGAGAGAGATTCACAGCTGGAGATACGCACTTCGATGATGATGAGGCGTGGACCTTCCGATCGCCAGGTAGGAGATGGGTGGGCGGGGGGCGGCAGTATCTGCTTGTTAGTTGAAGACGTTTTGCATTTAACTCATTCAGTACCAGCCAATTCTGGACCAAGTCTGAAAAGACGTTTAAAAACGTCTTTGGGAGTGAATGAGTTAATCCCAAAGGCTCTTTCCCTTTCTCTGGGTTTCCTTTCCTAGTATGGAGGGTGCCACGGTTTTGTCCGTGTGTATGTATGAAATATGCCAAGGCCCTTTTTGTCGTGTTCCACGGATCCATAGCGACTTAAATCTTCTCTCGCCAAAACTCGACAAGGCCTTATTAAGGATTCAGACATTCCCTTTAGGCCCCTTCATGCCCCAGTCTCCTTTAGTTAATATTTATTTATCATTATAATGTGAATTTAAAATTTAAATAGTTTCTCATACTGGAGAGCAGAGTAATGACTAAAATAGTTTTTTACACCCCACCCTCCCACCCCCTAAGCTTTCTGAGGAGGTGTGTTAGTTCCTCCAAATGTTAAAAAACATACGCCACCCCCGTTAAAGCAACGTCGTTAAAAGAAATATGTTCGAAAAGCAGAATCCAGTGATTTTTCGGATGATTAAAAACGAATGAGAAAATCAAGAACCTCTTTCTTAATTTCCATCAGAGCAGTTTTTCAGTGTTGCTTCAGTGCAGAGCAAAAAACAATCAATAAAAGGTGTTGGCACATTATGACGGACGGGGCAGAGGCTGACACCCAACAAATAAGCCACATTTTGATATTTTCATCAAACCATTATTGACTGAAACAACACAATGATTATCCCGCGCGTATTCCACTGAGCAGCTGTTGGCCCTCCCGGTATTTTGTCAAAATCGAGCCGGGATGAAGATAGATGGCATATTCCAGAATGTGATGCTTTGCTTAAACCCCCTGCGGAGAGCAGGAGATGCAGCATGTGCCAACCAGTAGTTTAGAAGTATTAGCAGCCTGAAAGCCTCAATCCTCTTCTTCTTTTTTTTCATGCCAACTTACTAATATGTCCAATTAACTATTTATCGAAATCGTGAGGATTAGCGGTACAGAAAGCAGATGGATGGTAGGATAATATCATCAACTTATTAAGTCCCGAAGAGTAATTTTCTCATTTTCATTTATATCCGGTGAGTCAATATGTCACGATGAAGTGCCTTTGGTTTCCTCATCCAAATCACTCAATCATCATAAAAATGAAACGCTGAGGTCTCATTATAAGT